CTTTTGTTCACTGGAGAAAATTCTAATAATATTAATGATGATAATAATAGGCGAGAATGACCATGGTATTTAGATGAATCGAAAAGTCAAGTTAGTAATGTATAATCTAGTCAGGTTTTCTTGGAGAAAGTGGGTAGGGGTAACAACAAGAGCAATCCGCCAATATTCAGGTAGGTAGTTACCTGGGGTTCTAGTGAGAAGTCGTGGCCAGTAGAGTGCAGCAGGGTTGGTGTGAGGACAAATACTTGCCGAAAACATTGGCTGGGGGTCTCGCTATGTCGTGAATTGGTAGAAGTTAGAATTCATGGGCCATTGGATCGGGCCCTGGTGGCTTAATGGCATACGAGCTAGCTCGTCTTGTAACCAGAAGGTCCTGGGTTGAAGCCCCGGTGGGTGTGTACTGATAAAGAGTCCCAAACTACGGCGAAACAGCCGCAGAGTACTCCTAGGTTTTCCAATGGTTATCTAACCAATGTCAGCTCATGATGAAATCCTGTAACAAATCAACCAAATCTCTACAAACAAACACTTAAATATTTGTTTTTTTACATCAAGATACTGAGAAAATAACACAGTCAATTTGTTTTATCCCACTCGGTGTGTTGTTAGTGCCTTATTCAAATATACCATATGCGACTTTTACGGTTAGAAGACCATCGGTATCTTTGCTTGTTTTATAAAAATTATTAATCCCTTTATGTTCCGAGTGGAACATGGGGCTTCAAACTAGAGGCTTGAAGCTTCGGTAGCAGTGGTGTTCATTTTGACGGGATCGGGTTGCTAGCCTCATGCCCAAACTTCCATCTTTACCAATTTTATTTCTGGCTAAGCGAGGTAAAGGAGTGCGTCCGTCGGGGATCGATTCCTGAACCACCTGCATAGTTGGCGAGCAAGTGTCACACTTTTCCCTTTCCACAGATAACATTAGTATTCAGACCCTATCATTTAAAATCGCAGGTTAACCCCTTAAAATATAAGTCGAACGACGAAAAAGAAATAGATAATTCAAATTTGAAGGGTACACTAGAATCAAATGAAATTTTAGTTTGGATACAAGAAAACTGGGAAGTATCTATGATGATTACACGTATAAATAAGTGTAACTTTTACAAGTTACTTGGAAGTTACTCGTTGAAGACTCATAAAAAGCAGATCATTCTGAAGCAATATTAAAGTTGATGAAGACTTGAAGACATTGTCACAGTAAGGCCTGTACATCAAACAAAATGAAGGAAATGAGAACTTGACATTCAAAGCTCGCGAAGGTCCATAATATAAATGAAGGTACAAAGTAATTAGAAATACGATATTGCAGTTAGTAAGAAGCTTCATCAATGAGGTAGATTTGTAAGCTATATTACCTCCAGTCACGTAAACCCTAGTCAGAAAACCCTTACAGATGAGATTAATAGTCGGTAATGTTATGAAAACAAAATACGTGGTTCAGCGAAGAGTCTCTTTTCGGCGAAATTATTCACTTTGCCGTATAACTGCGATTATGTACACTTATTTTTGTAGGTATGTGTGTACATTAGGTCTGTGCGATAAGTGAATGAAATCTCTGAAAAGAAACTCTCCAGTGCACTACATGTTTTGTTTTCATTAATGCCTGGATGGGGACTGTTCATGAAGTCATTTTATGAAGTGCTGATACGCCTCAATGCAATGCTCCTTCGCTTTCTTTCAAACAGGCTTCTAATTACATCCACATGGTACATGGACATGTGAGAGATACCTTTCCTAGCCACATTCGTCGTTGGGGTTTTTTCCTGTTCTGGTTAATACCCATAAAATTTAGATAAAGCCATAAAGACAACGGCAACTGAAGTTTGTGGATACTTCTCCTTTTTGATACTCGTGTATTACGGTGAGGAGGTGAAATACAAAATACTGTTATAAAAGTGTATGCCTTGTTCTAATCTTATATGGCAAATTCCAGTGGAAGTCTAGTGAGTATATTAAGTAAATGCCAAATTATTATTGGTCACCAGGTGAAAAGCGTAGTGAAAAAAAGAAATTATCATCACTCAGCTCAATTTTTATATTCAAATATAGCATGTATGCAGAAGAATCTTGGAATAAGGATCATCATTTTGGAAATAATGACAAGGGTATATCACATCCTAATAATGTCTTTAAGCGGTAAAGCTATGTTTATCGTTGACTCCATATCACCTGAAGATACGTTACCAAAAATCATTTTTCACGAAGTTGGGTGAATTATACTCATATTGTGTTTTCATGATAGAACACTGCACAAAACTGCAACTTTTCAAGTTGCCACATTTCATAAAACGAAATATTAAGTTACGAAACAAATGCGAGGAGACTATAATTAACGGAAGTTTCTAAGGAGAATGAATCACTATGTAAAGAAAGATGAGGGTCTAATGTATCTCCGACCACCGATCTTTGCAGTCTCAAGAACGCCTCCCTAGGTGGTGCAAACCAATGGCATGACCACTACTAACTCCCTTCTGACCGAATCTTATGTAAGCTATCATTTCTCACTTGGGAAAGCAATAGCTCATTAAAATGCAACACATATTCCAGTGATCTCGGTCGTCTGCAAGGAATTTTATTAAAAAGGAAGACAGTAAACACAATTAGCAAACCATATTTGACGCAGCCATCTCTGGCGATACCTCACCTAAAATTCTTATGTCATCATTGACTTTCATATGGAAGATTTCTCGTACAACACTAAGCATAAGACACTCCCGAAAGGCACTTTGACTGACACAGTCCAAATAATAACTCAAAATATTTAGCGATTCTTAATTGCAAATATTTTTGGCAAAGGAAACACTTATGTCTATGAAATCCAAAAGAGCTGTGAAAATGTTAAGAAAACTTTCTCCCTCAGTCCTACAATGTTAACCAGATTAGCATTGGTATAGTTCTCGAAACTACAGTTCAATTATTATGATGACTTAAACTATGAGAAATGGTATTCAGCTGTCAGTGGAAAGCGTCTAACAGGAAACTTCAAAGTGAAGATCTAAGTGCTACATGATGACTTTGTTTACTGCAAAAGTGAAGTTCAAAGACAAATTTACCAAGCAAACGGCTCCAATTAAATCTATACGTTTTATCCTCCATAGTGTATTTTGGATAGTCTGTTATGTGCCTACCAACAATTCTAGTAAAAGTATATATGCACATATCCGTAATAAGATCCGAATTACCTACGATTAAACCAAAAGTCTGTTATCACTCTACAACAAGTAAGTAATAACCACTCACATGCATGGTACCCTGCCATGTCAGATCTAATATGTCTCGAAACTACTGGCTCGCACAGACTTCTGGTTTAAAGATAGGGAGTGCAGTCGTTGAATCTGTTGACTGCTCTTTTTATTTGATAAGTCACACCAGCCATAAGTGAATGGTTAGTTCTCAGCAAGAATACTAAAGTCTTATGTGACATTTGATGACTTACATTATCTTTGGTTATCGACCTAAAAATACGTGAACTGCACGGCACTACGCTCTTTTTTCTTTATTACTGGGAGACATGGCCACTGAAAGTGGAGGCTAGCTGTTTCTCATGAGGGATGTTCGAGATCTACCTCTTGTTTCAAGCGGTAAAGATATGGTGAGTAATATTTTAGTTAGGCGTAGAGTTTTAAGTGAGAAAGATAAGTCATTCGATGAGCTGGTGAAGCTTAGACATAGAATGCCCATGTCAAGCCATCACCTCTCACGCTGAGCAGTGTTAATTGACTTAAGATTAGGTTGGGAAAGAGTTAGACTTGGTCGCACTAAAATATAGCATCAGTCCATGAAGTCTTTGACAGTTCGCTTCAGCCCCGTAGGGATATGTAGACTGCCTGGCTCGAGTATATAAAAATCAATGGCCGGAAACTATTTGCAATATGGCCCAAAATCATTCTGGATGACGCATATGCATTCATTCTTTATGAACTCTCATATTTACCAAGCTCTTATTATCCCCATCTAGTTATTCTTTATCCTGTTCAGTTCGGCTTATCACAGTTCTTTTGAGTGTTTATTCACTCTTGTATTGCAGGGCAACTTAATCCACTACATTTTTATGCAAAGTTCTACCTCCAAAATTCAGTCTTACCACCATAAATTAAAATGAATGAGGCATTTTGAGTGTTAACGATGATATTACTTGTTAATTAAACGCCTGTTGCGGCTTTTTCACCATAACTTCAAGCAAAAGGGCATGTGTTATTTGAGGATTTCAAACATCAACTAATTTGCTGACCATGTCTAAATAAAAAAATTCCAACAGTACTATTAAAGTCACTCTATTCAGTAATACTAGCAAGATAAATGGCAACTGAGACAGGCATTTGATTGTTTATTTTCACACTTTTCACTATAGTTTAATTCCCGACTGCATTTTCAAGAATAATCTTCTCAATTCCACAAATCCAAAACAGTTTTCAGGGATAACGTATTTTGAGCTGACATTGAAATTCACTTAATTAATTAATTAATTAAACATATTCAGCTGTGATTTGAGATGATTGTCTGTCATACAAGCACAATACAAAAGTGTTTCCAAATTGATAAACATAGCAGAACATGCAATTTACCACGAGTCGAAGCTTGCATCAAATAATTAAAATAACCAGTGTTTGTGAATTTACACTGGGAGAATTGCTACTACCTATGTGTGAAAACTTGTATGAAGACTTTTTCTAAACTTATCAAATGGTTTTGAAGATAACTACTGAGACTTTTGAAAACTTTTGGGTTTTATATATTTTTCAAAGATTATATATTAATTTACCATAAAGCTATGTAGAGCGCACTCTCCTCACTATAACGAAATCAGTGGACTTTAACAACATGATCGAGAAAATATAATATAATATATATATAATATATATTCATGAAACAATACAACCAGGTCCGTGTAAGCTGTAGTGTACCAATTATCAAAGCCAACAAGTCCCATGAATGCGGTGAAATTAAACCATTTTAAAGTTTAATCAGTTCATTACGCCTTTAAAATTACTCACAAGACGTTTTATGGCGAGTCGACCATAAGCTAGCGTAGCTTTGGTAGGATCTATGTGCGGTGGTGGTTCTAAACTTATTCTTGCTAAAGCCATTTTGAATATCTGCCCTTTGAAACCATGGTGAGGTCCAATATCCAATATCCTGATTACGAGCTAGTATAAACCAGTGATTTCTTTGAGCTCGCTTCTTGATTGTGAGGTAGAGGTTCCAGATTTTCGACACTCGACTGCTTTAGCTCTGGTAGACTCCAGGAGGAGTGGTGCAGGGATTGGTCGAGATGTGGTTTGTAGTATGCAGTATGTTAGGACTGTATTGCTGCCGTGAATGGAGTTTGACCTAACTCCTGTTGGTCATTCGGTGTAGTCATAAAAGCAGAATAGTAATAATAATAATAATAATAGGTTGTAGTGTAGATAATATAGGTTGAGATAAGTGGAATAATAAAGGTGACCTAAGGAAAAGATAGAGTGAGAGAAGGCAGAATAGGTCGTGGGGATTTAGTTTGTACGCTTATCCATTGACAGTGTGGTTTCAAGTTTTATGGGGATAAGTCATTGAGACACAAACCTTGCATTTCTGCATGATTGTCTAGCTTCCGCTTAAAAATCTCCAGAGAAGGCGCTGTAGTCACGGCCACCGGTAAAGCGTTCCAGAGGCGGCAAACACGAAGCGAAAAGAAATGTGATCGCACTCGAGTCTTTGGTCTCTGGTGTGCTATCCTTAGCGGGTTACCTCGTGGAAGCCTATAATCACTTAATGGCAGGATGTTTTTATTTGGGTGGGCCTGGTCATTTAGGATTTGGTAGACGGTGATGAGGTCTCCCCTGTGCCTACAGTAACTAAGTGTGAAAATACCTAATTTCTTTAGTCTTTCCTCGTATGATTTGTCGCCGAAGCCGATCACCCATTTTGTCGCTCGTCTCTGGACACTTTCTAGAATGTTAGCATCCCTTGTGAGTAGCGGAGGTGCAATGATATTATGCACCTCAAGGTGTGGCCTCAGATTTGTCTTATGTAACCTTAAGAACAGTTCGGGAGTGAGAGCTCCCAGCTGCCTATGCGTAAAGTATAAAGTTGCGAAGGCTTTGGCGACGTCCCTCGAGTAGTTTCTACTGGTGTCCAGCTTTTCTGTTAGAATAAGACCTAGGTCTCGCTCTGATTGAACACAATTCAAATTCTGGCCACCAAGGGTGTAATCTACACTCTGTAACCTGCCCGAATGAAGTTGCACTACTTTGCACTTCTTTAGGTTGAAAGGCATTCCGTTAGCTAGAGCCCAGTTTCCCAGAGTTTGCAGGTCCGCCTGCAATCTGTCTGAGTCTTCCGATGAGTTTATTGCTCTCCAAATCTTTACGTCGTCAGCGTAAAGAAGCGCAGAGCAGTTTAGTTGGGAGGGTAGGTCGTTGATAAAAATCAAAAACATCAACGGCCCTAGGATAGAACCCTGAGGAACCCCTGATGCCGAGGTGTGCCAGGATGATCGGATGCGGTTGACTTGGCAGCCTGTAGACGGCCGTAATTTTGAGTGACCGCGAATGAGATAAACAAGCGATTCGCTCGCTCGTGATTGGCCAGTTTGTCATTCTAGTTGAGGTAATTTCAAACATCATTTTGCTGCTTGGTTAAGTTCTGAATTTCTGGGATCGTTTTATCAATTTTGAGAGATAGCTGACAACACAAACTATTACAGCTCAGGAGAGAAATTATATACCAGTGGATTTATTTGCTGAATTCAACGAATTCATGCCAAATTAAGATCTAAGGACTTCTTAGGGGTGTGAAGAATGCAAACAATGTTCTGAAGAGGTAATAACTTCACGCAACTTCAATTATCGCTTGACCATTATTTTCAGAGATCCTTAAATAAGTATGATATACACAGTGGTCTGGCTAGTCATGATAAAAATGGCATGGTTGATGCAGCATATACATATACGCATGTATATGTAGGTAAACCTAGATAAACTGTGTTCTTGTCACGAAGATCGGAAAGCAGGTACCAGATGTCTCAGTAAGCAGTGTAATACATGTAAGTTACATGTTTTTATTTGACATAAACTGGATCTCCACTCACTTTCAGAATTAATCTTAAATTCAGTTGGAATAAGCTTGTTGAGCACATCAGTATTGAGAGAATACAGTGAAAGTAAGTAAACGCATGCTTCTTAAGATTAAGTGATACATTTATTTGTTATGATTGTATTGTTGTTAGTTGTCTATCTAAGTTAATGATGAATTCGTTGCGATAATAATACCTATTATTGTTTTTATAGTCACTATGAACATGAATGTTATTATTATTGCTGTCAAGACCTATTATCCGTCATAAAGTGGTTGTCATTTTTGCTAAAATATTTGTACAAGCTTTGAAAACTACTGCATAACTTGTTGTTAAATAATTTTATCATTTCATGATGCTTCAATGGACCTACTGGATATCGACCAACGATAGGTTGCAACTCCCTTAAGTTTAGTGAAAACTATTGGGCTACTTATATATACATATATATATTGTTTGTAAAGTGATTACTTCTAAATGCTTATCAGGAAAATTTTTTATTCAGATCATGCACGTAATACCCAAGTTAATTATGCTTTTCTTAAACCTTTTCAGACTTGTGGAGAAACATATATGTGCCGTGTTCTCAGATGGAACTTACTGACGGTAACAGAGGACTACTCACCTGAATTATCTGTACATTTGAAATCTGATTTTTGTTTAATAAACAATTTTTCAATGAATCTGTGTTCCTTCTGATGTAATGCGACTGTGTTCCAGTAACATAAGTAACATGTGCTAAGTTAGAAGTTGAGGGTAAACTGTTAGCAGTAAATGCGGCGTCTGGAAGACTTTTGTTTACGTGATTATATGAGCAGATAGCAACGTATCGTGTTCTTTGGCTGAGGACCCTAGGCATTCTGTTTTTAATTATTACGATAACCGTAGTTGCACTGAGTTATACATCTAACAGCATAGGTATAGTCTCTCCTTATGGTACATTGCGACATGCAGAAATCACAAGCAAACTATCTCAGGTGGATTTATTCTCAATTGGTGACCATGAATCGGGAATCAGTTTACGTATTCTGCTATGACGACACATAACTCGAAACGCTTTATAATTGCAAGACCTCCTCTACGGTTTAGGCATATTTACTTTATTTGACTACAACATAATCTTTTACCAATAGGCTTTTCCAAATATCTGCTCCTACTTAGTATTTCAAAGATAACCTCATATACTCTACACTTCACATATTACGCAAGGGCTAATATTCGGTCCTATCAAGTAGAATAAACAAACGAATAACGAGGAATACATTTATTAATGAATTAACATGTAATACAAAATCGACAACAGTGCAGGTATCTTTTTCTTTATCACCCAAATCCATGAAATTCCCGAAAGTAGATATCATCTGGAAAAGAACATAAAAATTATACAGGTGTAGACAATGTTGTCAGTGTAAACACAATAATTAACCATGAAATATGTTTGAAATGACGAAATAATTAGTTGAATTGTATATAATTACGCCAGTAAACATTTTTCAATAATACAAAATCGATATTGCATCTGCCCGCAAACGTCAAGTTTATGCCATAAAATAAGCAAATACTATGCGTATATAATTTCTAAGTATTTCTGCAGATTTTTCCTTAAAGAAATACCTGTGGAGGAGCCTTGTCAGCATTAGGAAAAGTACACAACAAAGTAAATGAAATAATCACCAAAACGAGCTATCCCACCTCATCATGTCCATGTGTAATCCATTAAAATGCAAAAAATATTCACGAAATGGTCGTTACAACATATGTCTTCAAGTAATTCGACATATTCTGAACGGAAAAGTACGTTTTTTCAACAAACTGCAAACTGCCTGTAAGCTACGGCCGGATAAGGATACCACCATTGCCTATTTCTGCTAAATACGCCATATTTCATCAACTTTTAGCTGGAATATATGTAAAAAAGTGTGTAAAACAACGAAAAATGACCCAACCTTGATGTCTTTTCCAAAAATAACGCCAGTATCCATCAGCTGATCAAATGACCTACGGCCGTCTACAGGCTGCCGGTTGACTTTGGTGCAGAATTCTCTCTCGCCTAAGTAATCTGTCAGCCATGCGAGAAGTGCTCCAGAAACACCCGCCTTGCTTATTTTGTGAAGGAGCAGACCATGGTGAACTGTGTCGAATGCTTTCGCAAAGTCGAGAAAGATCACGTGGGCTGGTACCTTTTTGTCCCAGGATAGTGTCCAATCGTTCCAAGCTAGTAGAAGATTCGTCACGCAGGATCTTCCCCTCCTGAAACCGTGCTGTGCTTCGTGAAGAAGGTTAGTCCCATCGAAGTATTTTCTCATATGGTCGTCAATGATACTTTCCAATATCTTCGATATCACTGGAAGTAGAGCAACTGGTCTGTAACTGGTCGCATTCTGCCGGTTACCACCCTTGAAGATAGGGGATAGGATTGCTCGTTTCCATTCACATGGAAGTTTCCCTACATCAAGGGAGTGTTGGAACAGATCGCTTAGGGGTTGGCAGAGACTTTCTGAACACTGCTTCAGGACAGATGGTCTGATGTCATCACAACCTGAAGACTTTCCCGAAGCCAACCTTCCCAATTTTGCAAGTACCATAGCCGGGGTAATTTGAAATGTACCCAGCAGGTTTTCGCGTGTTGGTTTTGCGATGTAATCTGGATGTTCTGTGGGGGTAATATCCTCGTTACTGTTTAGTTGCCTGTGAAAGGCTAGGCTGAATGTCTCTGCCATTTCAAGACTAGTAAGAGATTTCCCATCAGAACCCACTAGATTGCATGCTCCCTGGTTGGTCGGTTTTCTTTCGGACATAAACCTGTATAGGCTTTTGGGGTTCACGAGAAGCTTATTGGCGAGGTCTCCCTGAAATGTCCTTCTATCGCTCCGGACTCGTATGTTACATCGATTCCTGAGTTCAAGGTACACTTCATGTTCGGGTTGACTCTTCGATCGTCGCCACGCAAACCAGGCTTTTCGCTTCGCCTGCAGAAGGCGTTGTGTCCCCTTTTTAGCCATGATCGTTGCTTCCTAGCTTTTGGTGTGACTA